CTTGGTCATTATTGGGCATACTTCGGTCAGAGGTGTCACGGGGTCGATGTTGGGGCAGGGGAGGTGGTCGCCTGGTCCAACGGTCTGATGAAGCTGGTCCGTGGGTCGCCCTATGAGGCGGCGTGGGGCCCACTCCAGTATGGCGGGAGTCCTCGGGACGGATGGGGACGTTTCCTTGTAGGTTTCGGGAGTGGACTGCTCATCTACATGTTTGGTTCCGTCTGTTGAGGGCGCTAGGGGTGATTTCTGTGATTGGCAGGGCTCGGCTTCCTGTTCAGGTTACAGTTGTCGGCAAGTGATGGGGTGTTTTGGTGGACGGACTTATTTCAGGTTTCGCCGCTCGACTGCTGTTGTCGTTGGGACGGGTAAGTCTGTTGCGGTGTGGCTGATGCGTCGATGGAATCTGTGCGATTCTTGGATGTTTAAGGGTCGACGTGCCCTGGCTTTTCCGCTTTCTCCTAAGGTAGATGGAATGCACGGGGTAATGGTTGGGCTCCTAACACGGTGTATCGGGTTCCCAGGATGGCCTGACAAATTCCGTTCTGATCGGAGGCACTGCAGGTTTCCATCAATTGCCTGAAAGTTGGTGGGGTGTTCGAGGGGCATTTATTCTGGTTTGGGATGGCTACGGTCGCCGCCAGGCTTGGCGTGCCTGCGCCAATGGTTCAGGGGCTCGAATTTTGGGAGTCAGGGTGGTGGTTCCTTCAGGTTTACCCTGCTGGTCTCCGAATGGATTTCTCACCGCGGTTACGGCCCTCCCCCCCCCCCGGAAAGGGAGGTTCAGTGGTCTGGCACCAGTTACATGGTGGGGGTGTGGTCCTCCTCGTACGGGGTCGGCTGTCCCGCCTCTTGGACGTACCAGGGGGTTTTTGTCATCTCTGGGTGGATTGATATGGGTTTGGTGTTGTATGGGGTGCTCTTCAATCTGAGGGTGCTCTGGAATCTGGACATGTTACACATTCTGTTTCTGTTTCTTACCAGAGGTTCTCAGGGGACGGACTGAGGCTATCACCTGTTCCTGTTGGCAGTGTGCTCAGCAATGTGAGTGCCCTGGTGCGCTGCAGTCGGGAATCGGACGAGGTGGGTTTCTTGTTTTGGCTTGGGGGATTCCAGTTCACCTTGGGGTGTGGCCGGATGTGGCCTAGTTATCTCGAGGGGATGGGTGCGCTTGCTGGAGGTCGGATGAGGCCTATGTTGATGGTGCACTGAGGACGACTCCGGCTGGAGATGAAACGCGATTGCTGCTATATCAAAGGATTGTATCTGGTATTTTTTCTTGTTTCCTCTGCAGTGTTTTATTTAGGCTTTGTGCCTAGTATATTTTACTATTTATTCACTGCATATTGTCCCTGTTTTAATTGTTTATTTGTGCAATAAATTTTGGAGTCTGCACTTTGTATCCTGTGCTGCTCTCCTCAAGGATATCGTTTAGCCTTTTTAGGCACCCTCCTGCACATTATATAGAGCCTGGGACGGCTTTAAATCCTGTGAGTTTTACGCTACATAAGGAGTCTAACATTATGTATATGTGTATATATGTATGTATATATTTTGCGCTATGTTGTGTTATTGGATTGATCACGAATGGTCATTTAATTTCCTGGTGCAGTACTTATTCTATGTTGATCTGGCACTGCTAGCAGTGGTGGAACAGGCCATGGCTGGTTGTGGTGGGGTCCCCCGCTGATTTTAGGTGTAAAACAGCGTGGTTGTGGCGGGGGTATGTCCTTGCCAATTGAGTTTGAGGGGTTACGTTTAAGTATATGGAATGAGATGAACAAGTTTTTAAGGTCTCAACCTCCCCTGCTTCAAAAGGTTAACATTAGGTTGCCTGAGGTGTCGTGCCCATCGAGCGTGGATAAGGTCGGCTGATGGCGGGCATTGGAAAGATATGATTTTATGACGAGGGGGGAGGTGAGAGGAAGTGGTGATTAGGAACCACTGTATGTTTATTGGCAAGGACGGTTGGGTAACACTATGTGTGGAGTTATATATGTATATATGTTAATTTATGCTTATTTATGTCTAACGTTTTGGTTACAGAAAAAGAAGAGATTTAATAAATAAAGTTATGGATGTGTTATGCAGTAATTTAGTTTGTGATAATAAATGCTGTGGCCTGTTCATCCATACTAAGTGGTCTGTCATTATTGGGGGGTTGAATGGGGTTAGTTTTGTTATAGGCTGCATCGCAATTCCCCACTACGTACATACAAGGAAAATTACAGCTAAACACAAACACTGCAGAAATGTAATACATACTCGCCCTCTTATCAAAATGCTGTTACATTCTTTAAGAGTCAGAGAAGCAATAAATCCCCTTTATTTCCATCTTTCTATTGACATGACGCCTGCAGCTTTAGAAGATATATGAGAATGGCAGTGCAATGGAGAGCAGTCTAATACCTGCACGTAGACTGGCCCGGCAGCACTCTCACTGCGAGGCCTCAGGCTGCACGAACATTAGTTTCTCAGTGATAATTGAATGGAATGTGGAGGATTCAGATAGTTAGCAATTCATCATTTTTTGTTATAAGTCTAGAATTTAGAGACAGTTTTGGCTGAATGTGGTTCCAGACTGTCTGGGCTTTATCATGTTGCTCATGTTAACATTTTAATCTATTACATTTTATTTTTAAAAGTGCCATTTATCTCTATTACTCTGAAGGGCACATGATATTTATTTAGTTAGTTTAGTTTATTAGTTTATTGCAATAAAACCCAACATACACATTATGACATCATGTACTTTAACCCCTTAAGGACACATGACATGTGTGACATGTCATAATTCCCTTTTATTCCAGAAGTTTGGTCCTTAAGGGGTTAATGGCGCATGATCTCAGGATAAAATGTCTCTCAGTGGCGTTACAATGGAGATAAGGGGGGTGCGGATCGTACCAGGGTGTGCATCACGTGGGGCGGGGGGAGGGAAGGATGACACCAGGGCCTTCGCATCCTTTAGAGCTCACCGGTTCTGGGGATGCAGAATACGAGTGATCCGGCAGGAGGGAAGCACACAGCGCTCCCTCCTGCCAGTCACTCTGAGTAGCGTGGCTGGGCGGCGTGGACCGTGGTACATGAGCTTCCTGTACCTGGACGGACTTACAGGAAATGCTCTCTCAGTGAGCACTTCCTGTCAGTCCGGCCGGGTACAGGAAACCGTTCCTTTACCGCGGTCCGCACCGCCCAGACACGCTACACAGGGAGGTAGGAGACACACAAGGGAAGGGGAGATACCACCACGGGAGGGGGGAGGGGAAATACCACCACAGGAGGGGGGAAATACCACCAGGGTGGAGAGGGGAGATACCACCAGGAGGGAGAGGGGAAATACCACCAGGGGTATACCACCACAGGAGGAGGGAAAGAGGTGAGAGACCTCCAGGGGAGGGGGAGAGAGGGGAGAGACCACCAGTGGAGGGGGGAGAGACCACCAGAGGAAGAAGGGAGAGGGGAAAGACCAGCAGGGGAAGGAGGAAGAGGGGAAAGACCACCAGGAGAGGGGAGAGAGACAACCTGGGGAGAGGGCAAAAGACCACCAGGGGGCATGGAGGGAGAGGAGAGACCACTAAGGGACAGGGGAGGGGGGAGAACTCTAAGGGAAAGGGGGGGAGGGAAGTTTACTAAGGGACACACAGAGGGGCTCAGAAGGGAGACGCACAGAGGGACCTGGGGGTGGGAGGGTTAATACACACAGGGGGGCAAGTTGATTGATATATATATATATATATATATATATATATATACAGTCTTGGGTCAAAGGCTTGCCACATTAATATACGTCTATATTAATGAAAAGTACTAATACGCAATCTGACTTACAGTTTCTTACGGTTTATTCTTAGTTACTGATACATAATGAAACAACAAAGGATGTTACATGATCATGGATGTTCAACAGCAGCAGATTGCAAAATAAGCAGAGGCCTACCCAGGGGTTAAAGGACCACTATAGACACCCAGACCACTTCAGCTTAATGAAGTGGTCTGGGTGCCAGGTCGAGCTAGGGTTAACCC